CTTTTAAGTGATGCCTGCATATATCACATACATTTTCCAAGTCCTAGTTTTTGCATATACAGCACTCAGGATGATATTTCTTTGTGAGTACAGTGCAGTAGTTAAATAGGTCATCATGACTGCACGAGTTTCTGGTGGAGCCTGATTTGCTTTCTATTCTCCCTTTCTTCCTTCTATTTCTTCTAAGCCACTTAAAGCTGCCTCTGTGAATCTTGTGTAAATCTGTGCATTCATACATTCACGGCTTACACCAATTCTGAGCCCAAATCTCCCAGCATGCTCAGTGTAAAACTCTGACAATAGAGCCACAACAAAAGCAACTCCTAACTGCAGAAAAATCATCTATATTTGGAGTCGTATTCATTGTTGTGCCTTACCAATCCAGCGGGATAAAAAAAAAAAAAATTGCTCTGACAAAGCATGCCTTCTAATGAGCTGGTGCAAATAAACATTTATAATCAATGATGGGAAAAAAAATGTGCTGAAATACTGAGAATGAAACTGCCTGCGAGGAAAAAATTGTGCAAGTGGGCATCTGTTCTGCGAGCAGCAAATTTATGAGCAGATACGAGAAAAAATAAAAGCTGTGCTTGTGTGTGTGTGTGTGTGTGTGTCATAAGCAATATGTGTGATGTTGAAGTGTGCCTGGAAACATGCTGAGGGAAATTAAAACAAAGACTCAGAGGTTATTTCAGCATAATCTGTTATATATTCGACAGAAACCAGACACATCTTTTCCAATCGCTCCTTTGAAGCTGGAATTTTCTGTCAGCGTGGTCCTGGAGACAAAGACCGTTCCAGCCTGTTTGTTCTCAAAGGCCGGTATTTATGATAGTGTGACAAAATCCTCTTTTGGGTATCTAGAGGCATATCGCTGGAAGCTTGCATGTATTACGTGTGTGTGTGTGTGTGTGTGTGTGTGTGTGTGTGTGTGTGTGTGTGTGTGTGCGTGTGTGTGTGTGTGTGTGTGTGTGTGTGTGTATATGAAAGCAGCAGAAAGAGGGAGGATAGCGTATATGAAATCCTCATAAGAACTTCTGGAAGTGTTTCTTTCAGCTGTGGCGTATTACCAGAGGCTTTAGCTCAGAAGCTGAGGATAATGGTTTTAATATTCACTCTTAGATGATTTCTGAAGTCACCCAAGAACAAAAAAACCTATAAGCAATTCAAATGACTTGTGCCTTCCCGAATTCTCATAAATAATCATGATCTAAAATATCGGCTCATGCATTTTAATCTGAGCCTAATTTGCCTCAATCCATGGCTTCCCTAGCGTGATAGTAATTATAATAGAATTCAAGCCAATGAGAGACTTTGTCTCAGGAACTAACATGAGGGAGGAGAGTTATCAAAAATAAACATATTAATGCTATAGCTGATTTAACATGTTTCCATTTTATATGCTTTAATATCAAGAGATGGTTTTATGCAAGTTACATGTATATTTATAGCAAGTACAGGAAAAAATTAATCCAAAATGTTTCTAAAAAGCATTATAATCATCCAGATAAATGCATTATGCTTGCTTTTACTAGTGCTGGGAAAAAAAAAAAATTGTGATTTATTTCATCCAAAATAAAAGCTTGTTTTGACATAATCTGTGCATATTTAAAATACATATATAAATACACACAGGCATGCATATAGGTGAGAAATGTTTGTTTATATTTAGATCGATATATTTATAGTATTTTTACACACAACAGTTCTGTCTGGTACTCAAATCTGTGGCTGACAGCCGTATGATATTCTGCAATAACAGCACTCGTGCAGCCTCTTCACCCTTATGTATTACTCCACACACAGCAGATTGACAGCAGATCAATAAACTCCCTACAGTCTGACAAAAATCACAGCTGTTCGACAACACAATGTATTTTTGAGGCTTTTTCGGTGAGAATTTAGTTGTTCAGATTGCAACTATGCAACTTATTTATAAGGATAGTGCCTAGTTTAAAATATTTATATTTTCGGAGATTAAGTGCGTCGGCGGCCATCAGACTGTCATACTGAGCAGAGACAGAAACCACCTCATTCCAAACTACAGCTGATCAAATCATTATAAAACTGGTAAGTGACATTCTAAGTCAATCTCTCTCTTTTGTATGTTGTTGTGCTGTATTTATATCCTAGTAATCTGGTAGTGTTTGCTTTGCATTTTTCAGGGTTAATTATTGTGATATCCCGATAAATACAGAGTAACAGAGAAATACTGGAAAATCGTTATAGACTGATGGCATTTCATGTCGTTCAGCCTTATAATCTTAAAATGTCAGCAAAAACACCCTGTTAACACTTAAGATATTGCGCTAGAGAATCATTCAAATACTAGCTCTAAAGTGACGTTTGTCATTTCGCAACGGTTCTGACGTCAGCGGCAGATTTGAATGAATGTCGAAAGAAAGTAGTTCCTCTTAAAAAAGGATTTTTAGACTTTTTAGTTAGATTTTTTTTTATATACACGATTATGCCATCGAACTGTTGTGCAATATGGCTGTATATCGTCACTGATGGGACACTAAGACACTCGCCCTGGGCCTGGGCCTTGAGTTATGTATTTTCTAAGGAAAGCTATCAATGATTAATGCTATTATATACTAGATTGGAGTAGAGGTTGTTCTTTTATACATTTAAACATTTATAAACTTGTTATTTTAAACTCCTGATAATTGGTTTTTTGAGTGCACAGACACAAAGTGTGCATATGTGTCATGTTGTCCATCACAGTTCTGTATCCCAAAAACTTTTGTCATATGCAGGGGCTGCACGACATATTGAAAAAGGTATTGTTTTAATAGTGTAAGCAATAATATGGAAGCCTATTTCTTATTTTTTTATTTAAAATATTTATAAAGATTATTGTGATTTTTAGTGGCAATTACAGGCTTCCATATTTCATAAAATAATCATATCACAGAGAGGTGCAATAAATAACTATTTTAGGGATACACTAAATTGACAATTCTGGGCTGAAACTGAAAATCTTTATACCTGCCAACCCAGGTGCTGTTCTGCTCATATTATATAAAAAGGTGAACCTAGAGTTGAAAATAAACACTAGTGATGAGACAGCCAATAGGATGCAGAATATCTGCCCGGTTTTCATTTATTCATAGTGTCTAAATGTTTACACTCTGACAATCCTTTACATCAGAAAAGTTTATTAGATCAGAAAAATATAAATTTTTTACCTGTTTATTTCAGAATAAACAGTATTTCTAGGACATGAAGACAACGCACTACCAACACAACTCAAACAAGTCTCATCTCACTTGACATGTTTTGAGCAGGAATACATATATACTAATATGTATATATTATATACATATAATACATAAAACTCAGGACTACATATATACAATCAGGATCAGAGAAAATCTAACAGATGTCCAACAATAGTACAAAATTTATCAACAAATACACAAAAATAAATGACTACATAAATTTGTGGTTTTGATGACTACTTTTGGGCTAATCTTGAACATCCATTAGATTTTCATTTTTAGCCTGCATTAGCCAGGCATCTTTGTTTTGATGTCTATTAGACGTCTATTAAACACAAACGTTACTTATAGGATTATAGTATGCTCGAAAGGAGGTTGAAAGTGTAAAAATAAATAAATAAATAAATAAATAAATGAATAAATAAATAAATAAATAAATAAATAAATAAATAAATAAATAAATAAATGAGTCTTTTAGGATGAATCCACTGCCCACTTGAAGGTACAGTATGTACTTACTGACACTAGAGGGCCTGTATTTACAACAAACAAAGGTGTAGTTTTGATGAAGCTAGAATTTGTCTTCATTACACCCTATGGGATTCCTGCAATGTCCATAGATGAGCTAAAGTATTCACAAATTAATATCATAATAATAAGACAAAGCAATCAAAGCAAAACGAGAGGCTAAAGGAACTGCTGATGAGAGAGGAGCACAAAACCAAGAAAGCAGCGGAGTTGTTATTATGACACCGTCTAACTCCTCCGGTTGTTCCGGTCATGATCACATGGAAAAGAAACAGAGCTGATTTATACTGAATATATTTCAGGGTTCTGCTGTAATGCTGCTCTGTGCTGTCTAATAAATCACAAAACATGTTAAAGCATCTTGGCCGTTCTATAAAAGCCAAGCTGGAAATCAAGGGTGTATGATATTTATTAGCATGGTGAAAACAACACAGTCCATATTACTACTGTAGTTCAAATAGTTTAATTCTCTTGATTTGAACATTCTTTGAAATAAAATGTAGTCCATAAATCAGCATAACTAGGAGTTTCTATATATTTTAATGTAAAAACTAACATGATAGTTTTAAATAGCTTCAGTGAAGCTGGCCACTTTGTGATCAGCTTTTGGTAAAGCTAACTACTTCATCATAAGAGTAGCTCGACTTTAGTTGAACTGCTTCCACTCCCACTCACAAATGCTGTCAAAGCAAGAGAGGTGAAATGGCAGTGCATGGAGCAAACAAACTGTCAAGTCCACTCACTCCATCCGTGGCTTATGAAAAGAAAGATGTTTGATTATAAGAGACAATTTCTATTTAACAGCCATTTTCAAAAACAGCAGACCAGTTTTTATGGCTGTTAATGATCACAGGTTAATCAGAGACAGAAATACAGTTTAAAGTCCAGTTCTTGGACAAATAGCCTTACAAAAAATAGTGTTTTGCTTAAGGCTTAAGGCGAGAAAGCGGTAGTTGCCACCATCACATCAGAACATGAGCATTTCAGTGCCTCAAAAATTCAGTTTCTCGGCTAAAGAATAAAGCTCAACAAACTGTAGCATGCTTCGATGTAAAATCCATTGTGTAGTGTTGATTCTAAAGGTCACATATTTGGCTGGTGTGCCTGTGCAGTTTGCCAGAGGGGGAATATGGGAACCCCGGTTTAATATCTGCTTTTTATTGCCCCTGCCGCGAAAGGGAAGAGCAGGGAGAGCTGTGGATGAAACACGAGGATTAGCACACTGGAGAGAGAACGCAGGGCTTTTACCTGATACCAGCTGCTGCCCGGTTAAGCCCATCGGCACAATGCCCAGGTTGTTCATGGCGGTGGCCCAGGCTCCGGGATCAGCCACAGGAACGTTGATGTGGCTCTGCTCAGTTCCCAAACTGCCGATGCCGTCTGCTGCTGCAGAGAAAATGCAATCCGTTAAATCCTGACTAGTAGCCTATCTTGAAAACACTAGCTAAACAGCTGCATCTATTGTATGGGATCACTAGAGAATAACATGTCTGCTATGCTTTACATTGGAGGCCACTTAATCCAGTTCTGCACATTTTAGATTAGGGATAGGCAGCTTCAGTCCTGGAGGGCCACTTGCAAAGTTTAGCTCCAACTCTATTTAACTGTAACCCCGCCAGTTGTACGCCACCCAACCCACTTCGAGCTGGGATCGAACTGTCAATTTTTTGCATGGGAGTTGTTTGCTCTAACAAGGAGTCTAAAGACCATGAACTATCGATAGAGCCCCTTTAGAGGTCAGAGGAGTAAGGTTTACCTGCACAGCACTCACCCCCTTAAACCTCACTCCAATCCGGTTCACATCACCAATGTAACCTTGCCAGTTCTACACCACCCAACCTGCTCCGAGCAGGGATCAAACCGGCGATTCTTTGTATGGGACTTGGTTGCTCTAAGCACTTCACTTGTTGGCCTTCGGTACACAAGCACAGCTGCCTGTAGCTTTCTAGTGATCTCCAAGACACTGATTACCTTCTTTAAGTGTGTTTGATTAAAGTTGGAGCTAACATCTGCTCTTTCACTAAACTTGTGACCCTCCAGGGCTAAAGTTGCCTATCCCTGCTTTAGATCAATGGTTCACAGAGTGGGGGTTGGGACCCACAATAGGGGTCAACTGACAATGAGGCGGGGTCGCTTGATTTTTCCAAAAATAAAGTCAATTTAAATAAGCTATTAGATTTACCATATTAAATAAATTTTTTTAAAGATAAAAAGTAGTCAATATTTACATTAAAAAACAACAACAACATGCAACCATGGTCATTTAGATTTTTATTTCTATTAGATTGGAACCCCAGGAGGATTTTGTTACATTAACGACAATGCAATAGCACCATTTACAGTACATTGTTAAACTTTCCGACACCTCTTGGAACTCATGTGCATTAAAAATGAGTACACTTCATGGTCGAATGTGGAGGATGATCTCTGATTGGAGGTTTCCAAAATTAAACCAAGGATGGACTTGGTGTGCTCCAAAACACCATCTTATTAGGTGAGGTCAACAATTAAATTAAGCGAGTAAATTATTTACTTAACCCTTGTGTGCTCTTGGGAATGTTTTCATGTCCCAACAGGGAAAACCACCAACAATCAGGAAACATGATTACATGGTGGCATGGCTTTGCAATCAAAAAATTTAATTATAATGAAAGTCAATGGGGCAAAAACAGCCATGAACATAATGAAAGGGTAGTAGTTTGAGCAAAAAAACAAGGTTTGTCTGATAATTCTTCTGGGGAAAGTCTTATTTGTTTTATTTCAGCTAGAATAAAAGCAGTTTTTAATTTTTATACACCCATTTTAGGGTCATAATTATTAGCCCCTATATTTTGTTCGATAGTCTACAGAACAAACCATCATTATACAATAACTTGCCTAATTACCCTAACCTGCCTAGTTAACCTAATTAACCTAGTTAAGCCGTTAATTTTCACTTTAAGCTGTATAGATGTGTCTTGAAAAATATCTAGTCAAATATTATTTACTGTCACTATGGCAGATTAAACAAATCAGTTATTAGAGGTGAGTTATTAAAACTATTTTGTTTGGAAATGTGTTGGAAAAATCTTCTCTCTGTTAAACAGAAATTGGGGAAAAATAAACAGGAGCTAATAATTCTGACTCACATCTGTAACGCGTATTGCATCGTACCGTACTGAGTCTGTTGATTCACAAAGTATGTGTGCTCTCTTTGTGTAAACACTTGAAAATATCTGCATAGTTGTTCAAATTAACATCCTGTGAGGGTTTTATAATAGACCTGCGCCTGTACTGTATGATCTAGCGAGACTTGGTGGTGTTTCAGTAGTGAACAGCTGTTCACTGTTCCTGTCAGTGAACTCCAATAATATCCAGCTATAAACCCAACTGCCTTCGGATCGATGTTTTAACAGATTTAGAGTGTTTTTACTTTGTTTTACATTTCTTTGTTTATTTTAATGGATATCAATAGATGAATAGTAGTCAGTCTAATTTAAAGCAGAAACAGAAAGTTTTCTGTCATCTCCTGTTGTCCTGCCAGGTAATTTATTAAAGAAAAGGCCCAAATACTCTGCAGTTGTAAAGTATAACTAAAGTAAAGATTCAGGAGCTTTAAATCGGTCTGTCCATTTTTTTAAATAAATATTAAAATATATATATTATTATATTTTATACTATATTTAAATATATATTTATAATGTTTTGGTTTTTTTTTGTATAAAATGATCTAAAAAAAAGAGAATAATAGAAGGCAAAATAAATGTCTAGAGCATTTTCTCAAGTCAATCAGTTTGGACCTTCTAAAAATTCTCGGAGAAGGAAGTTGGCCTCGAAGTGAAAAAGCTTGAGAACCTCTGGATTAGGCTATGTGTCCACGCATGCCTTTTCATGAATTTATATATTATTCTGTGATGTCTGTAAAATATAAAATAAATGTAAAATAATAGGTATACAATAGTAATTTTTAACAAACATGTTTTTGAACCACATGGTAAATTGTATAATGTGTACACCTCTTTCTTAATGAATGCTACAAAATATACAGTAAACTGATAAACTGTAATAAATACTGTAACGTTAGTGTAAATTATATTGCATTATTATTGCGTATAATTAGAGAAACTGAAGCCTATTGAATAATTTGTTTATTATTACAGTTGTGTCGTACCACAGCCCTAATATAATTACTATCACAGTTTAATTCAAGTAATTATCTATAGTATGCTTCCAAACCCTATAGTATTTACTAAAGTATTTTTTCATGTAACCTAATAGCTTATACAGTATCTACAGCCTCAATAAATGGTATAAATAACAAAAATACATAAATCATAAAAATACAGACTTTCCTCTATGTCTCTCATTCAGTCTTTTACTTCCTGCCCTCCATCTGAATTTTGCATGTCACCAGAACCACGTGATTAAAAACAACCTATTGACCCGTTTGTTGTATTAGATATCAACAGAGATCACAACTTGCTGACATTGGTATTTGGGAGGGTCTTAAGCTGATAAGTTTGACAACCCCTGCTTTATATTATGGATGTCCTGTCCTTTGTTCCAAATGCTATGTTTATACCAAATGCAAGTACTCGCAAGAGTGGATTACATACAAAGTCAATACAAATGTGCCAATTGAGGTGCATTTTGACAGTGCAATGTGAATGATGCAGATTGCACAAAAAACTCATTGCCTCAATCATGTCTTCCTTGCAAGTTAAAAAATATTCGGAAACTTCTGCACAGTTTAGCTCCAATCCTAATTTTAAACACCTGAACCAGCAAATAAAATTTTTCAGGAGCTTCCAGGCAATAGGTTGGATTTGGTTGGAACTAAATCATGCAGGATGTTTGTCCTCCAGAAGCAGAATTGTACACTTAGAAAAACAAACCGCGGGTTTACTACCAATAATTAACTGACCATGTTTTAGCAAACCTAAAAAAAGGCAATCCAAACATCTGTCATGAAATATGCACAGGCTGATAGGTCCAATCAATCTGCTTCTAGCCACATCGTTAAATGCATGGTGCAGCAGCTTTTTTTCTTTTTTTTAGTTTCCCAGCTCCATCTGTGTATCGATATACTACGGGGGGCTTAGTTTACTGTATGTTATGTTTGCTGCAGCAGTGTTATATTCTCAGACAGCATGTTTGTGAAAAAAACTAGAAGAAGCAAGTCTGGGTTCTTGTTCTGCACCAATAATCCAAACAGCCAAAACAAGCACATCAGCATTGCCATGTATACATTCATTACCCTACTAATCAATACAAGTGATGTCATTATAGAACTATGGTCTTTCTACACTAACCATAGTTTAATTGGGGTATTTGTGGTAAAACTGTACGTACACTCATGTTTTAATCTTAATTGATGGCAATTATGCAAATAAATAAATAAATAGTGATGCATATTGCAGGGAGGGAGATAAAATGCAGTTTTGTTTTGTGGAGGGTTTTCGATGGATGTCAATGAAGGGGACGCTTTACTCATAATACAAGCTGGTTTTGTGGAAAAACGACTCATTACTTTATGAACTGTCAACCTGTCGGCTAATAATCAACATGGTCCAACATTACATTTGCATTGATTTTTTTCAGACATTTTATGCCACTTTTATACTGCAAATCTCATTCATATCTATGTGTAATATACGATACTGGCAAAAGAGTTGAGGATGTAGATGCAGCATCATTATTAACAAGAGTACTCAGGCAGGCAAGGGTGAAAAGCAGGAGTAGTTGATAAAATAACAGGCAAACTAAAAGAGTAGTCATGTCACAGGTAGGGATAGCTGATGTGAAACTGACGTTTTAATACAGTGTTAAGATCCCAAAGTGCAAGTGCAAGTGTTTTGAAACATTGCACCAAAGCATGATCCAAAACACCCAGGTCACTTGACAAAGGTGATTCAAAACACACCATGTCACATGACTAAAGTGTTTCGAAGCACCAGGTCATGTGACTAAAGTGATTCAAAGCATCTGTCATTTCAGAAGCATTCAGAGATAAATCTGCATTTGACTGACAAGGTTGGAATAAATCCTCTATCTCTTATAGCTTAGTGGACCATACGTGTGCACAAAGTAACTGTGTGCAAATGGCCAGAGTTTGAATCCTAACATATTTATTCACAAAGTGCTCATTTAGATGTCAGACCAATGTTAAAACAAAGCAGAACAGAGCATTTAAAAACATCTATAGCTGAAATCACCCTGGATTTGAACACATTATCTGGGCATGCTGGTCTGGAACTCTCACTGCTTCAATAAATCACTTGAAGCCTCAACTCTATAACATGGGGTTTAATACCTTTGCTTAACGGCGTTTTGCAGAAGCTGCTCCAGAGCAATACATAAAAATGACCGTAGAGACGGGTTTCGAAATGTTTTGAAGCTTCGACATATTTGCTTCGACTATTTCAGTGTTTCATGAAGCATTGCTTTGCTCACCACTAGTCTCAGGCAGCAAACAACATAAAATAATTAGGCAAAGGTCAGAAAACAAAGCAAGGCAATACAATGGAACCTTGCTTAATGCTACAGGAAATTAACAAGACTCAGCAACATGTGTGTGTGTGAGAGAGGTAAACATAAAGTTTAGGTAATCAGTCCATGATGAGTTACCAGCTGTGTGTGTGCAATCAAGGGGAATCAGGAACTGGTGTGTGTGAGATGCATGATGGTATTTCTAGTCCAGTTCAAAGACATTTGTGTCAATATGCAAGGATTAGATCACTGGTGATATTTGATATTTTGGTATTTGGATATTTGGTATTTGGGTTTGACTTCCACTCAACTTTGAATTTCGTGTCACAGAGCAATGTGATTATTACTCTAATAATATAAATGAACCATTGTGTTAATCGACTACAATTAGCATGTTGGTATACTAATACTTACCTCTAGGGCTGTTTTTATCGAAGTTAATATTTAGTCACACCATGTTAGTGTTTTGTAATATCAAACACTGAGGTGGGTTGTTAGCCCAACACTCAACCCCCAACCTGGAAAACCAGGACATTTAGTTTACCCATTTCACCTATAGCACACATCTTTAGGCTAGAGGGGGAAACCAGTTATACTAATAACATGCACAACTTTTAAAAATAAATATTGTAAAAAAAAACATTGTGAAATAAATTAATACAATTCCACTATGGGGTCTGTAAAATAAGTAATTAAGCTTCTTATGCTTAGCCAAATATACTTTTAAAACATATATTTAAAATATATGTTTTCTATCGAAATATTCATTCATTCAATTTCTTTTTGGCTCAGTCCCTTTATTAATTTGCGGTCACCACAGCAAAATTAACAGCCAACTTACCCAGCATATGTTTTATGCAGTGGATGCCCTTCCAGCTGCAACCCATCACTGGGAAACATCCATACACACTCATTCAAACACATACACTATGGCCAATTTATCTATGCCAATTCACCTGTACCGCATGTCTTTGGACTTGAGGGGGAAACAGAAGCACATTATCTTTAGAAATCATTCTAATATGCAGATTTGTTGCTCTGTAAACATTTGTTATTGTAATATGTCACAATCACCAGCGGCTTCAACATTCATCATCCAGGCTTGTCACCATATGGACTACAAATCTTGTTATGCACTACACACTCACATCCGTTCCTGTTTTCTGCTGATTGCTAACACACACAGCTGAAGCGGCTCATGAACTGATAAGATGGACTTTATAATCAACACACACACTTCAGTGCTGAGTCTTGTTATCTGTGACATTACGATGCGGTTTCCTTTGCCTTGCCTTTACGTGTTTGACCCTTGCTTTGTTTTGTTTTGCTTTGTTTGTATTGTCTGCTGCCTGCCTTTTGACCATCCTGTTTACTAACCATGATTCTGAATTTGCTTGCATGTTACCGTTTACTCCTGATTGTAATCATTGCCTGCCTAATCATTCTCTTATAATAAATCCTGCATTTGGATCCTCAACTCTTTTGTACAGCATCCCAGCACATGAACAAATATTTGTTGAAAACATTTACTTTTTTGTTTAACTTGTGATCTTTTTTTTTTTTTTTTTTGGTTGGTTGGTTGGTTGGGAGGCAAAATATAATTATTTTTTTTAATCTTTTATTATTTATGGCATTAGTGTAATTTTTTCAATCAATTTTACGCGTTTTCGCTGAATGAGAGGATTATTGTCTTTTAGACCCTAAACATACTAAGGATTTATTTTACACTGAGCTCAGTACAATGCATTAATCTGTTTTTTTTTCATGAAAAAAAGACAACGCTGCTCTGGAATCTGCCATAACGAGGTATCTCAGAAGACAGCATAATCATCCTGCCTACGTTTGGAATAGTTTTCACATCATTAGTGCGCTTATGATGGCTTAAAAATGCTGCCCACGTCCACAACTTATGAAGGCTTGTGCGGTTTTGACTGGCCTGGTAAACAGCCAGTGTACTGGACATAATAAGAAGCGGTAATAGTTACCACTAGCCATGGCCGCTCGTCACAGTTTTTCTCTGGGTGCCACTGCCGTCACCAGAGCCCTTGCTCTTCCAAGACAGCTGGCCGAGGAGAACGGAGCACTCAGGAGCTCATCACGGCGTTCAGAGAAACCTACAGCACACACAAAACAACACAACAACATGAGAATCAGGGCTGGGAAGTGATTCAGAAAGAAATCGATTTTGTGGTGTTTAAAGAATCTTAATAGGAATTCGTAGGAAATCAAACTGCTTATTAACAGTTTTTTTCTGTTTTGTGTCAATAGAGCATATCATTGTACTGCATTGTGTCTTTATTGACCAAAATCAAGCATTTAATGAGCTTATGTATGAAAAGCAGCTTGTATATGTATGCTTGTAATATGGCAACAATGTGGAGTTGCTCTTCAGTGTTTGGACTTGCAGCAGTGATTTTTGCATTACACTCAACTCAAGTCAACTCAACTCAACTCAACTCAACTCAACTACTACAACTGTGATGCTGCGTTCACACCAGACGCGGAAGAAGCGTCATGCGCAAGTAATTTACATGTTAAGTTAATGCAAAGATGCGAATAGACATTCTGTGAAACGACACGCGCGAATGAGGCAGCGCAAATGACATGATTCGCACAAATGGAGCGCCGCGAGTTGAGCATTTTGCGCAATTGACGCACGTATCAAGTGTTTCACCCAAAACGCTCAAGTTCGAAAATCTAAACTTTAGCACACATTCGCATCGCGTTAACCAATCAGGAGCTTGCTCTTGTAAGGTATGCTTTCGACGTAGCACGTGTTGATGGTGTCCCGGGGGGAAATCCTACAGCCAGCACCAAGCAACAGTTGAACAAACTGGGCTTGGATCAGTCAGAAGCACTGCTGAAAGATTCCATCATTCAGGTTTAGTTTCTGGAGTAGTTTATGAACTCACAGAGCTGGGTGCACCTCTGAAAGGATCTAGTGGACTCGGTTCCAAATGAATCAATGTTGTTTTACATTTTCCATCATGCACTTCACACACACCAGTTCCAGATATTCAGGACTGTGTACCAGGACTATACATACATCTCACTTTCAAACACATCTTTGCTGAGTCTTGTATAACTGTTAGTGTGCATCACCCAGAGGTTTCCTATTTCTTGTTTTTTGGTATTTACATGTGTTTTGATTTTCGACTGTTTTGGGATTTTTTAAGTGTTTTCTGCCTGACCTGACCTGACCATTGCCTCTCTTTCTAGGTTTCTCTATTAAATTACCCATGTTGTACTGTTTGCTCCTGTTGGCAGGGTCAGATCCTAAAGCTGCATTTAGAACTTTATCTCTGTGTACCCACTTGTAAGAAATATACAGTCAAGCTTAAAATTATTTATACCCCTGACAAATTTTGACTTAAAGTTGCTTTTATTAAGCTAGCAAGTTTGCCCTATATTTTTTCCACAAAACAGAAGCAGACATAAACTAGGTTACTCTGGTGGCATAAAGACATAAAAAGAGATGATGCCAACCATAGAAGTCTTCAAGGAGAACTCATACAAAGAGAGGAAGTGATGATCCCAACCATTGAGGACTTACAGGACAACACATACACTTAATACACAAATACACTTCATTAAACATGTATACATAGAAATCACAAATAACCAATAAAATGGTAGATGTACTACATCTGTACATAATAGCATATATTTGATTGTAACTTTAACTTAATCTGATTGAAATGCAATAATGGCCACCCTTTGAAAAGCTGCTTTGAAACAATAATTATTGCAAAATGTGCAATACAAAAAAACGTGAATTGAACTGAATTAAATAAAGTGGTCACTCACTCCTAGCTAAAATAAACCTCTCTGCCACTTCAGTTGAAAAGATTCTCATTTAAAAAGGAATCTACTATTTTTTGAGAACTGACATATGATTAGTCCTAAGTTAGGAAATGGACCTGTAAAACCATTTCTGGAGAGTTTTTTACACTTACCTAAGCCATGCCTTTTATTTAGAAATCAGAGAATAATTACACATGTATTAATGCATTATATGGCACCTTTAAGTATATGTTTTAAAACAAAGAATAGCAGGATGGATAACATGGGGAAACAGTGGGAAAACTGTATTGTTTTCATAATATGTAAAAATATGTATTGTAATATGTAGCATCAACATGATACCTTTTTAGTATTCATCAGTGGTGTAAAGTAACCAGTTACAAATACTATAAATAGGTTTTCTCAGAAATTTTAATTTACTAAGTAGTTTTAAAAAGTGTGCATTTACTGTCCCTTGAGTACTTTTACTCCACTTTTTTTCCTTCAAACTGCTGTCACTACTTTATTTATTATTGTCTGAAGAGATTGGCAAGTGCAAAAATCAGTCATGTGACTCCTATCCAATCAAAAAGCACATAGCAACTAAATTGCATCATACTGAAATACCTTAAAGGTGCCCTATAATAAAAGTCTAGGTATACCAAGGCATAGTAGAATGATAATAATAAAAAAAAAAAAAAATTGTATTTGGAAATATACTGTGAGCCTCAGAAACCAATGTTTCCTCGTTTTTAAGTAAATTCCAGAAGTGGAAAACCCTGGTGGACAATGAGCCAATCAGAAGACAAAACAAACAGTGATGAGACTCATGGGCCCACGCCTTCTGCATTTGCATGTATGCCTACTTTAGGTAATTTATCCAGACCTGATGAGCAGCTGACATCATCACAAAAACACATATGCACCTCTAAGATCATAAAAAAGCTCTGAAATCTTAAATATGCACGCCTCAGGCTGCGTTTGATAACCCAAATGCTTTCTAGTCATACAACATTGATAGTTTTCCTTAGCTATTTTCCGCATATATTTCACTCACTGTGTATGTGGAACTTGGATTGATTGATTTCATTAAAACAATTAAATTAAATGTATCCTATGAGATAAACAGATCATGTTCCAAAACATAGAAATAATTCAAAAAGAGAAAGAATTCCAGCTGATTCCATCCTTTGCAAAGATTTCAACCGCAGCCACAACACAGCCACTTTTATTAGCCCTATTTAACGCAGCTAAGGAAGTCAGCTCTGTTCCCAAAGCTCCAGCCAAACGCACCACCACAAATGCCTTCTCAGATAGAGCGAGACTATAAATAGTAATGATAATCACTAGAGGAGAAACATCACAGGAACTCTCATTACCAGAGCCTAATAATGTGCAAACCTTTACCGTCACACTGGGCCCAATAGATTCTGCAGCTGGCGTAACAAGACTGCAGGAAATGCCTTCAAGGACGTGTAGCTCCTTAAAGCCACTTTGAGACATTCTGTCAGCGCATCCGCTCGAAATGACTTACAGCTGACCCATCAGACTTCCATCAAACTGACAGACGTCAACCGCTGATGGGTCACAGTGCGCGCGAGAGACAGATCCCATCCCCTCCTCCAGCTCTCTCCATCCCCATGCATTATATCACCCTGGAAATCAAAGTCTGGGGGGATGGAGCCATTAAGCTGTTTAATACGGGTTCCAATAATGGATCCCATATGCGGTGAAAGTGCAGCGCTTCATCCCCAGCGGGGCTGTGAGAGTGAAGTATCATCATCAGTATGCCAAACGCATCCTTCTCCGCCACTCCAATCCACAGCATATTATTCAAATCTGACACGCGGATATCAACTTAGGAGCGCGACACGGCTCCCTTTAATTGCCAAACAATAATATCACAACTTTGATTAGATACAGTATTAATGTGTTTGTTTGTTACTTGCAGAAAATGGATAACTGGTGAAAAGTTTTATGAGTTGTGATAGCTGGCATGGAAATAAGAAATGTGTCAGGTGCTTGTGTAAAGGTGCACATGCACTGTGTGCAGGATTATTAGGCAAGTTATATTTTTGAGGATTTATTTTGTTATTGTACAACTACAGAGCTCTTGGTCAATCCAAAATGTTAAGAAAGTCTCAAACCTGAACATTTAAGTTGTAAAAGTAAAGTTTTTCTTTCTTAAGAGAATATCTACATGTATACCATAATTAGGCAACTATTAGTGTACAGAGTTATGCAACTAAAGAAAAAACAAGATTTTCCCATCTCACTAACAGCTCATTTACTTTCACTTGTTAAAGTGAGAATAATAAACAAGCTCAAAATTTATAAATCAACATTTTTGAAAAAAAAAAAAAAAAAAAAAAAAACAATATGTACCGTTTAACTTGACTGTAAATTTCCTGCTTAAGAAGCGCCCAAAAGTTCTCAATGTGGTTTAAGTCAGGTGAAGAAGAGGTCTTTACTGTCCAGCCTTGCAGTGGAGTGCTTTGACGCATGTGATGGAGCGTTGTCTTGCATAAAATTAAAGTCTTCTTGAAAGATGCAGACTTTTTCCTGTGCCACTGCCTAAACAAAGTGTCTTCTAAAAATTGGCAGTATAGGTCTGAGAGTTGATTTTGAGTCCATGTTCAACCTGAAAAGGTCCAACTAGCTCATCCTTGATAATATCTGCCTATACCAGTATTCCACCTCCACCTTGCTGGTGTTTGAGTGGAGCTCTGTGTCCTCTACTAATCCAAACATGGGCCCATCCATGTGGTCAGTCAAGAGTTACTCTCATCTCATCAGTCTACAAAATCTGTCTTCAAATATTTCTTGGCCCATTTTTGATGCTTCAACTTATGTGTTTTGTTCAGAGGTGGTCAGGTTTCAGTCTTGTTCCCCATGGCCATGTCTCTGAGAACTGAACACCTCATACTTTTTGAGCAGGTAGGTTGCACTTATGGAAGATGGCAGCACTGATAAATAATGGGTTTCTGGTATAGCTTCATGTTTGATTCCTCTCAAATCTTTGGTGGTGATTTTGCCTCTTCTCTTCTCGACAAGTTTCTTGCGACCCTGTTGACTGTTTACTACAAAACATTTGATGGTTCTGTGATCACACCCCAATATCTTAGATATTTCAAGAGCGCTGCATCCCTGTGAAAGACTTTTTACAACTATAAACTTTTCAGAGTTTTTTGGCCCATTTTTTATTTATTTTTTTTTTTTTTGAGGAGAAGAAACTACCTAATAATTATGCTTACCTTGATATAGAGCATTGATCTCCTTAGGCCACACCCTCCCTCGTTACACAAATACACATTACTTGATATGCATTAAA